GGTAAAATGTTGCCTCCTCATTATGGAGAAATTATTTGCATAGCTGGTAATTTCTGAGTGGATGCCATACATTGTGATTTTTACTTTGTTGGGTGCTATGTGTTTTTGTAATTCTAGAAACATTCTTGAGCCAATAGCCTATGAACCACTAGGTTTTCAGTTTAGCTGGTGACATCAGGCACTATCCCAGTGAAAGCTGGGAAGTGTACTGTCTAATTTGGGGGGATGCTTCTTTCCTAAGCTGTGGATAACCACCTCATAAGTGTGTGCTAATAAGTGCTCAGCTGAATACTTGGGAAAGACTCTTTGCAGGTCTCCAGACATCTCTCTGTGTAGCTCTCTCCTCTGCAGTACTCTGGTCTGCAAACTTTAGCTGCTTGGGTCTCCTTTCATTCTCTGCTCTGTCTCCTTAGCCCAGGGAGTCATCTATCAGGTTCCGCCTGCATTTCCCTCTGTGCCATGGCCTGGAAACTCTCACAAGGGAGTAATCTGGGGCAGTCACAGGATTTACCTCATTTGATCCTATCTCTTAAGGGTGGCTGTCTTTTGTTGCCTAATGCTTATAGTCTTGAAAACTGTTGTGTCATGTATTTTTTCTAAGTTTGGTTATTTCATTCTCGAGGAAAAGTCTGATTCCTGTTACTCCATGTTGGCTAAGAGGAAAAGTGTTGCATGTTCCTTTAAAATCAAATAATTGATAGAGCAGATCCTATGCTGTACAATGGAAGCAAACAGAGAGGGAGTAATCGACTGGGAAAAATGCAGGGACCATGCACAGACCACTCATTTAAAAGTTATTTTTTGAGCACCTACTATGTGCCAGGCACTGAGAAAATATGGTAGCTTGGATTAACATGGTAATCGTGGAGATAATAAGTGATTGGATATGAGGTATATTTTGAACGTAGAGCCCATATGATTTGCATATATGTAGAATCCATGGGGTATGAAAAAAAGAGAGGAGTGAAAGATGGTGCTAAGATTTGTGATGTGACTAACTGGGAGTATGGCATTGCCTTTACTAAGATGCAGATGATTATGGAAGAATAAGCTTTGGAGGGAAAGATAAAGAACTCACTTTTGGACATATGGAGACTGAGATACCTATTTAAAATCCAAGTGGTTATGTGAGGGAAGTAAACTAGAGTCCGTGGAAAAGGTTGAACTGGTGTTAAGAGTTTGCAAGTCATCAACATATAGATGTATTTAAAGCCATGAGATTGGAGAAGGAAGTGATGAAGAGACAAAAGACAAGAGGTCCCTTTAAGGGCTGAGTTTGGGACATTCCAATATTTAGAGTTGGGGAAGAGGAGGAGGCCTCTTCAAAGAACACTGAGAAGTTGCCAGTGAGGTAGGAGGAGAATGAGGGGAGTAGAATCCACTATTTCAAGAAAGATGGAGTGTATAAACTGTTAGATGCTGCTCAGAAACAGAATAGAATATGAACAGAGAAGTGACTTGGGATAAATCGTGTTACTGTGTGTCTCTTACTCTGGGAGCACCACTGTGATAAGAGACTGCCAGACTCTTCTTTCTAAACCCAGCACCCAGCACAGAATCTGGCACACAGTAGGTGCCCTGGGGATGTGTATGAGGTAGATGAGTGACTGAATGGGCTGTGAACTGAAACTTCTAATCTTGGTTATATGATGAACTTGTTCCTTCTCTCTCTCTAACTTAACTTCTCTAGGAAGGAATTTTCCTCAAAATGCTTTCAGTGAACTCCTTGACTAGGCTGGTTTTTCTTTAAAGTCTCGGGATGGCAACTTAGCTTGTGGATAAGGAGAAAAGAGGCCTACGAGTCCACCTTGTCTGTGTTTGGGCTTTTTGCCAAATCATTATGCCTTACTCTAGGTTGTTAAGCCACACCCTTTTGAGAACCCCACTGCTCATCTAAGATCTGTTGCCCATCTCTGTTCTCTTTGGCAGCTACATGGTCGGTCGTCTTCCTTGCCAAGGCTCTTCCTGTCCTCACACTTGTTTGGAATCCCCTGTCTGTCATTGCAGCAGCTATTGCAAACCTTCTGGCCGCCTCCTCCAAAGTCTGCACCTACTGCTGCCTGGTGTTCTGAAGATAAGACCCCTCCCATCCCTCCCATTTCACTTAGAACACTGGGGTTTTGCAAGAGTGAATCCCTTCAACGGTCTCATGGCCCGTTTCTCGGCAGCCCCTTCTTCTTGTCCTGGATCTATCTCCTTTCACTTCCTCTGGTTCGTGAACCTTCCCATTCCACCTATCTTTCATGGCTCCAGCCTCAACTGAAGTTTCTCACAAGCACATGTATTTTTATTATCTACTGAATTCCTCCTCAAAACCTTTAAGCTTGCTTTATTATCTTCTTGACGTAGAATTATAACAACAGTAACACAGGGAACCTTTGTCAGCCCCACATCCCCCTCCAGTTTCCACTTTATCTTTCCTCTTTTTTTGGGGGGTCAATCTCTTAGAAAGACTGAGCTATGTGCTCTATCTCTTATCTGTCCCTCCTACTCCTTGCTTGAAACTTCATGAACCATGTTCTCTTTGACTACTACTCCTTGACGTCCCTCCTGATAAGGTCCCCAGCAAGGCTCCTATTGTTCCACCCAGTGCCCACTCCAGCTCTCATCTTGGGGAAGAAGTACCTGGCATAGGGCACTTATCTTCCTGATATGGGAGCAGGGCATTGGCCTTGCAGACAGCTCCCTTCCTGAAAGTCTGCCTTCCCTGGGAACTCCCTCATGTTTCTCACATTCCCAACCTCATTCTCCTTCACTCACTCAGCCCCTCTGCTATCTTTCATGGTTGCAGCTCACGAGAGCTCTACCCTTAGCTTTTCTCTGCTCTCACGGTATAGGGATGGGCACATCCCCCCAAAAGCTTTACCTGCAATGTAAACCCTGGTGGTCATGTGCCCCCTTCAGTCCAGACCCCAGTGAATGCTGAGCCATCCAGCCTGCTGCAGCAGGTGTGGAGAGTCGTGTTGAAGGCTTGAGACCAGGCCAGGGCCTTGGAGATGAAGGGCAATGGGTGGACAGAACCTTGACACTTTTGGAGGGACAAAGAACTCAGGACAGAGGCTGCTTGGATGTGATAAAGGAAAAAAGGAGTTATGGGTGACAGCAGGCTTCCAGCTTGAGTGACTGGGAAGAGGGCAGGCCCCTTTCAGAGGTGGGTAAATTTGACGAGCTGATTTAACATGATGGTAGTTGGAGTCCTGGGACTTGGGGTTTCCTGGAGAGGGTGTATACATGAGACCCACCACCCCAACTGCCTTGTTTCCAGCAAACAGCTTGAGGGGGCAGTTTCTGACAAAGGGGAGTATATGCAGGCAGTCAGGCTGAGGGATCAGGGTAGGGAAATCTGTCTTTGTGACAGAACCTTAGAGAGGTTATGAACATGAGCTGTGTCCCCATCACTGGCCTGGCCCTGGATTACAGCCCTTTTGATCTGTCAGCTTCAGTTTCAACAACACCTTTTCCAGGAGGCGAGCCCTGTAACTCTGGTGTGAACAGCTCTGGCTTTGTTTGCATTGCCTGAAACTTTTTGTCTCCATGGTCCGCTGCCTCCAGGGTCCAAGCAGGGACTCAGTGATGCTGCTTCCTTTTCCTCAAGTGCCCTCATTACTATCCCAGTGCCCTAGTCCCACAGAGAGCACCAGGTGAGCATCTCTGAGGCTGTTTGACGCGCCTGCCATCGCCATGGTGACAGCTTCAGAGGATGGAACAAAGGTTGGGCGGGGCTTGAGGGAGCTCCAGGAACAGCTTCGGGACTGTGGGTCCAGCAGCAGGGGCTGTAGGAAATCTAGGGCTCATGCTGACCATTTCTGGCCATACCTGGTAGGCATGCCAACCAGCCCCGGCGGGAAGAGCTCCTCCAGGTGTCTTCTGACTCCCTGGCAAAAGACAACATGGGACACAATCTCCTCCCTCTCTTCTAGATTGTTACCTTCTGGGCTATTCCTTCTCCATCTATTTTTTGGACGCCTTCACCTCTGCTCAACTCTTAAATATTGGGGTTCTCCACAACTGTGGCCCGGGCCCTCACTCTGTCTCCTCTTCTTTTGTGATCCCACTCACTCTCTCTCTCCATTGCTCCCCACACCCACTGCTTCTCTGAGTGCCATCCATCCTCTTCTTAGATAGTTCTGCCCTCTTGTCTTGGTCTCCATCAGTGCTCTTGCCCAGCCTCCTTCCCGCTCCCCACCTTCACCCTTGCTCTGCCTCTAATGCAGGCTCCACAGAGCAGCCACAGGGATCTGCCCTTGTCACACTCCTGTTCTGCAAGGAGGAGAGAGCCCTCACTATCAAACTATCAAAGCTAAAAGAAAACAAAAGAAACAAAAACTGTTTAAGCCATCTTCCTGTGCCTTCGCTTTGCGGATGTCTGGCATGTGCTTAAGCTGCCGAGCAGCTCCAAGGCAACCACTGCCCCAAAGCCCTGGCCCAAGGGAGGAGATGTATCTCCCTGGCCCAGAGCAGCTGCTCTCTATCCCACCCCTCTCCAAGCCACCGCTTTCTGGTTCTCCTCACTGGAGACCACCTCAGAGCTCATGCTCCTTAGGGAAGAGGGAAGCTACTCTGGGCCAGGGAGACACACCTCCTCCCTTGGGCCAGGGCTTTGAGACAGTGGCTGCCTTGGAGCTACTTGGCAGCTTAAGCATGTTCCAGGCATCTGCAAAGTGAAGGTACAGGAAGATGGCTTAAACAGTTTTTGTTTCTTTTGTTTTCTTTTAGCTTTTGTGGTTTGTATGAAAAAGATATATACTGTGGTAAAATAAAAAAGCAAACACTTTTTGTAGTTTAGCACTGTTTACATATTAGGGTTGGGGGAGTACCCCCATTGTCTTGACCACTGGGGCCTGGCACTTATACAATGCTGAATCCCACTGCCCTGACTGCCACAGCAGTGCAGTTGGCCAGGTGGCCCTGGGTTATAATCCATCCATTCACTTGCCACTCTGCCACTCTCTGTGGGTGTCAGGGTCTTCTGGAACCTTTTTCTTGGCCCTCTTTCTGACAGACAAGGGCTCTGGTTGTACATGGAGGATGACTGAAAAAGCCAATGGTGTGAAGAGCTCCCCAGCCAATAATCACAACCATCATGCAGCCCCTGCCATCAAGGCCAATGGCAAAGATGACCACAGGACAAGCAGCAGGTGAGTCTGCGTGGTATCAGGGAGGGTGCAGATGCTGCTACTTCTCCCACCTCTGCATCATTGTCACAGAGCCAGCAATCTTTGTCTCCAGGACACCCTCTTAAAAGATCATGGAATTTCTAAGCACAACCCTGGAGGGGAAACAAGTCATGCACCGAGAACCCTGAGTCAACTCTGCTCTTTCTTCTGCAGGCCACAATCTGCAACTGACGATGACACCTCCTCAGAACTGCAGAGGCTGGCAGACGTGGATGCCCCACAGCAGGGAAGGGGTGGCTTCCGCAGGTGGGTCCCACCACTATCTTGTTGCTTCCTCCTCCTACCCACGGGGCAGGTCAGGGTGGCTACCATGGCCCTCCTCTTCACAGTCCCACTAGTGCTGTCCACCAAAACCCCAGGGCACAACGTTAGTGCTAGCCAAACTTAATTTTTTCCTCCTGAGGCCTGGGCAAACCCCAAGGCAGGCAAGCTCAGAGGGGCCAGAAGAGGCCTCCCTTTACACTTGGCTGTCTCAGCTTCAGGGGGCAATAACCTTCCCAGTAGAGAGGCCTGGGTAGAGGACCTAAGACCTCTCTATCCCAGAGTTACAGGTTCCATAGGGAAAGCAGGAATCTCAGGGAAAGCTTTATTCCTGACAGGTCTTGCCTTAACACAACCTCCAACTTGCCCTGAAGACATCCTGTTGGCTCTTCTCACCATCAACTGAGATGGCACTTCCTATAGGAAGTCTTCCCAGGACTGCAGTCTCCCCCAGACTGCATTCACCATCATGCCTAAGGCCTAGCCCCATGCTTTAAGTGCTGGCCTTTATCCCAGCTTTCAGCACATGTGAAATCATGGCCTGGCCTGTTTCTAGGTTTCACTGTCCTTCTTTCATCTTCCTCAGCAGACAGTGAGCTCCTGGGGACGGGTGCTCTATGAACAGCATGAATCTTGGCTCTAGTTCATACTTTCTTTCTCTCACCTCTAGGATAGTTCGCCTGGTGGGGGTCATCAGAGAGTGGGCCAACAAGAATTTCCGAGAAGAGGAACCTAGGCCTGACTCATTCCTCGAGCGTTTTCGTGGGCCTGAGCTCCAGACTGTGACAACACAGCAGGGGGATGGCAAAGGCCACAAGGATGGCGAGGACAAAGGCACCAAGTACAGTGTTCAGCCTGTGGGGCTCAAACAGGCTCCAAGCATGCAATGGAAGAGCTCACTGGGGTTTCTATGCTATTGCCAGGGGCTATGACAAGCCCTGCTGTAGTAAGCAGAGTGGAGGGCAAGGCTGACTTGCAATGTTTTCAACTCCAGAATATCTCCATTGTGCTCCCCCAACAGCCAGTGGCCTACTTGCCATGAGAACCTCTGGTGTCTTTTCTCACCTTAGTTGCCTCTTGCCAGATGTCCTTTTGCTGCACATTAATGTACAGCCCAGTTCCAGTGGTCAGGAAATGCTGAGAGGGTGCACTTAGGGAGTGCCCTGGAGGGGATGCCAATCTCAGCTCCATTGTGGATGGGGAAGTGGGTCTTTGAAGAGATCAAGTAAAGGTCTGAAGGAGAAGGGATGAATGATGGAGCAGGACAGCATGGGGATGGCAGAGAAGGCAGAACTGGAGGTTCTGCCCTTTGAGGCATGAGTAGGCAACTGCAGATGTCTGGCCAAGCTGACATTCCCCACCTATGGCCAGTGGAAGGAAAGGTCCTTTGCCAAAGCGGGGCATAACATCTGGGAAAGTGATTTGGAGGTTGGAGGCCAATGACCTAAAAGGGAGGGTGAGGTAGGCAGGAAGCTTGTGGTGCTCACTCACCTGGAGCCACTCTCTTTAGGGAGGGATGTAGGAATAGGGCTAAGCCTCCATTACCATCCTGTGGAAATCCCTTTCCAGGCCCTGAGACCCACAACTATTAAAAGTTCTGCCCCTTGACATGCCCTCTGGGCAAGGGGCCTGCAAGGTGCATGGGAGCCAATGGACCTATCCTGATTCAGAATGGGAAGATGGGTGTCTACGCCCATGTGTGCTCCACTCAGATGCCCAGTACCAGGTTGTAGGTCCCTGAAAAATGGGGCCCTCAGCCTGAAAGATGGGTTGGGCCCTCAGCCAACCCATCCTTCACCCCACATATTCCCGTAGGTAGTGCTTTCTCGGGCACCTCTGGTTTTTGGGATCTGGGGTGCTATCACACTGAGGGGACCTGATCCCCAAGCCTGGCCTTTGTCTGTCTTCTCAGGAAGAAATTTGAACTATTTGTTTTGGACCCAGCTGGGGATTGGTACTACCGCTGGCTGTTTGTCATTGCCATGCCTGTCCTTTACAACTGGTGCCTGCTGGTGGCCAGGTGAGCAGAATGGGGCCCAGGAGGGGTAGCCAAAGTTGCCCAGTCTTCAGACCCTGGGATTGACAGCGCAGTAGTCCCTGGCTACCAGTGGCACCTCCAACTTCTCTTAACCTCAACCCTCTCCCCACTTAATATGCCACTAAGATTTCTTGTCTGTCTTGTGTCTGGGACAACCACAGTGGCTCCACACATCTATGGCGCATCCTCCACATTTGAAACAAACATACTTGATAGAGAACCAGGATTTGGTGATGTCACTCCCTCCTCACAGGCCCTTTAGCGGCTCCCCATTGTCCACAGGATGAAGTTCAAGGCATAAGCACGGCCTTCAAACTCCTCTGGACCTGGCCTTTTTCTCTTGCTCCACCTTCTGGACACACCCCAGCCACAGCATTCACCTCTCTTGGATAAGAATACGCAGTTTTCCACCTATGGAGATTCTTCTCCTTGCAGGCTCAGTTCAAAAGCCACTATCTAAATGTTCCCTAACCCTGTCCTACTCCATCCCTATCCCAGTCATTCATTTAGCAAGGATTTGAGTGAGCACCTCATGTGTGCTCAGTGCTGGGGATAATGTGGGGAGAACAACAGTCATGGTCTCTGCTCTCCTGGAGCTCCCAGGCTAGTGGCAGACACTGACTCTAAACCTGAAATGAAACAAATGGCCAGGATAATGCCAGGGGCTGGTGGCAGGTAGCTGCTAGAGAAAGGGTGGTGAGGATCAACCTCTCTAAAAAGGTGATGCCTTAGCTGGTGGGAGGGAGGCAGCTAATTAGATACCTGAGGATGGTGGAGGGAGCATTCTGGGCAGAAGAAACAGCAAATGTGCACACTCTGTCTCAGGATGGCCTACTGTGGCTGGAGACTATGAGTGAGTCATCACTGCCATGGGCCAGTTCTGCAGTCTCATTGGGAAGGGGAGGGGGCTGGAGTTTGAGTCTAAATGTGACCAAGTAGTCAGAATTAACGGTTCTCCCCTTTGGCTAGTACCTCACTGGACAATCATCCTGGGCTCTGTCCCTGACTATGCCCTCTCCTCAACCCTCTCCCTACTCAGTTGCCAAATCCTGCCACTTCCTTCTAAAAAGTTCCTGCAGCCTCTAAACCTTTCTCCATTCCAACTCCTACGCTCTCTCTCATGTATATTGGCTAGTGCTGCATGTTGGGTGCTGAATAAGGTGTATGTTGAAGAGATGAGCATGGAGGTGGTTCAGTTGTATGCTGTAGTTTGTTTTTCCAAGGACTTGTTCATTCATTAAACTCACAGCCATTGAGCCCTCAAATCCTGGTGCCCTGGTTCAGGCATGGGGCATGCCATAATGACTAAGAGGGGTCCCTGCCTTCCTGGAGCTCACAGTTCAGAGGGTAAGACAGAAAATTAATGGCCAATGGTGTTGTCTATGTAGTGATGTCTATGTAATGAGGAGAGGTGGGGCAGAAGCTACTTATAGATAAGTGTCTCTTGGCATCAGGCTGGCTGTGACTGAATGATGCCCCTGGTAGCCATCCCAACCCATTCACACAGTGAACACTCAGTTTGGGGCCTCTAGGGTACCTTTGGCTTGCTTTGAGGGTGAAGCTTAGCTCTGTCCTCCTGCAGAGCCTGCTTCAGTGACCTACAGCAAGGCTACTACCTGGTGTGGTTGGTGCTGGACTACGTCTCAGATGTGGTCTACACTGCAGACCTCTTCATCCGATTGCACACAGGTCAGTGAGCAACTGGGATGCAGGTAAGTCCAAAGGCCTGAGTCCAAATTTTTAGGAAGCTCAGTGGACGGTGTTGGACTAAATTGCTTGGGTGGGAGTCGGATAGGTGAGTACCCTTCTTTGAACCTCACGATCCTACATGCTTAGAGAGGTTTGGATCTGGGGGTGTTCTCTTACAGTCCTTCTGGCCAGCCCTGCTATGTGAGCTACATCCCTCCTTGGGAAGGAAGTTTCAGTGAGCAGTATTTTCATGTCCTAGAGATATTAGCCTATAGGGAAGAATAGGCCTGAGGGCAGAGGGGTCATGCTGGCTTGCATCTCTACTAGGTTTCCTGGAGCAGGGGCTGCTGGTCAAAGATACCAAGAAACTGCGAGACAACTACATCCACACCCTGCAGTTCAAGCTGGATGTGGCTTCCATCATCCCCACTGACCTGATCTATTTTGCTGTGGGCATTCACAGCCCTGAGGTGCGATTCAACCGCCTGCTGCACTTTGCTCGCATGTTTGAGTTCTTTGACAGGACAGAGACACGCACCAGCTACCCTAACATCTTCCGCATCAGCAACCTTGTCCTCTACATCTTGGTCATCATCCACTGGAATGCCTGCATCTATTATGCCATCTCCAAATCCATAGGCTTTGGGGTCGACACCTGGGTTTACCCCAACATCACTGACCCTGAGTATGGCTACCTGGCTAGGGAATACATCTATTGCCTTTACTGGTCTACACTGACCCTCACCACCATTGGGGAGACACCACCCCCTGTAAAGGATGAGGAGTACCTATTTGTCATCTTTGACTTCCTGATTGGTGTCCTCATCTTTGCCACCATCGTGGGAAATGTGGGCTCCATGATCTCCAACATGAATGCCACCCGAGCAGAGTTCCAGGCTAAGATAGATGCCGTGAAACACTACATGCAGTTCCGAAAGGTCAGCAAAGAGATGGAAGCCAAGGTCATTCGGTGGTTTGACTATTTGTGGACCAATAAGAAGACAGTAGATGAGCGGGAAGTTCTCAAGAACCTGCCAGCCAAGCTCAGGGCTGAGATAGCCATCAATGTCCACCTGTCCACACTCAAGAAAGTGCGCATCTTCCATGATTGTGAGGCTGGCCTGCTGGTAGAGCTGGTACTGAAACTCCGTCCTCAGGTCTTCAGTCCTGGGGATTACATTTGCCGCAAAGGGGACATCGGCAAGGAGATGTACATCATTAAGGAGGGCAAGCTGGCAGTGGTGGCTGATGATGGTGTGACTCAGTATGCCCTACTCTCTGCTGGAAGCTGCTTTGGAGAGATTAGTATCCTTAATATTAAGGGCAGTAAAATGGGAAATCGACGCACGGCTAATATCCGCAGTCTGGGCTACTCAGATCTCTTCTGCTTGTCCAAGGATGATCTCATGGAAGCAGTGACTGAATACCCTGATGCCAAGAAGGTTCTAGAAGAGAGGGGTCGGGAGATTCTCATGAAGGAGGGGCTGCTGGATGAGAAAGAAGTGGCAACCAGCATGGAGGTGGACGTGCAAGAGAAGCTAGCGCAGCTGGAGACCAACATGGAAACCTTGTACACTCGCTTTGGCCGCCTGCTGGCTGAGTACACAGGGGCCCAGCAGAAGCTCAAGCAGCGCATAACGATTTTGGAGACCAAGATGAAACAGAACAATGAAGATGACTACCTGTCTGATGGGATGAACAGCCCCGAGCCGGCTGCTGCTGGCAAGCCATAACGCCTGGGGCCCAATTGCCTCTCCATCCTTGGCTTTGATCCCAGGAGCTAGAGGAGCTATTTAGATCTCCGGATTTATATGAATTGACTTCATGTCCCCTGAATTCTCTCCAAAGCCTCTCTGACCCCAGGTTTTTGGCCTAAACATCCAAGATTCTGCCTCCAAGTTTAGCCCAAGTTTTTGGAGAGTAAAGACTGTGTTGGCCGGGCTTCCGGGAGCTTCAGCCTGCCTAAGTCTGAGGAAGGGAGAAGGGAGTAGCTTATCTGTCTTGAAGGGGTCTGTCTGGGACCAGTAACCTGGGCAATGATCTGCTCTGAAGAAGCCCATTTGCAAAATGCCATACACCTTGCTGCAGTACTGCCCCCCTCTGGCTCTTTTGCACCTAGACCCTCCTCCCTTGGTTCTGTACCCCACTTTTCTAACATGTTTTCTGAATACTCCCTTTCCTCTGCACATGCATGTACTTCGATCACCGACTATAGACATTTAGGCCAGGTCCCCAGTGTCTGTCTCCCAAGACAGACCAAGGAATGTGATAGTGTTGTTGTGAGAGGGCAGGAGGGTGCCCACTCAGGGCTGTTCCTCCCCATCACACACTCCAGTTCCTGCTCTGTGGATCGATTGGTCTGTTTGCTAGCCAGGATGAGGTCTCTGCAGACTTCTCTGGACCAGGGAGATGGACCCAGCTTCTGGTCCATTCCACGGCAGGCAGTGAGTAGGAAGGCAACTGGCAATTGTCCGCCTGGAGACAGGGGTAGCAGGCAGCTCTGGCCGCACCCTCCTCTCTGCAGAGCATTTCTGAAGAGGACCTGAAAACTGCTGGTGGTGGGGAGACTCTTCAAGTTAATAACTGTATTAGAGGCACCTACGAGTTCAAATTCCTTTGAATTATCGGTGGTTATTGCTCAACTCTGTTATTCACATTCTCTCCCTCCCTCTATTAATCCCTCTCTTTTCCCTATATGGTTGTCCATCAGTATTCATGAGGGACTGCTTTCAGGAGTCCCCATGAATAACAAAATTTGTGTATGTTCAAGTCTCTGATATAAAATGTCGTAGTATTTGAATATAAACTATGCACACCCTTCCATATTTTAAATCATATCTTGATTATTTGTAATACCTAATACAATGTCAGTGCTATGGAAATAGCTGTTATACTGTATCTTCTTTGTATTATTTTGATCTTTTATTTTTTTCCTGAATATTTTCAATTGGTTGAACCTGCAGAAGTAAAATGCAAGGATATGAAGGACAGACTATACTTTTCTTTGCTCCTAACCAGAACTTTTTCAATCTGAAATACACTCTGCTACCTTCCCTTGCCTGCCTAAGCCTTATGGGTCCTTCAGAGCTTAGCTCCAGCACCACTGTCTCAGAGAAGGCCCACTTGACTGCAACCACTCCCACACTACTCAATCATCTTTCTAGGTTCCTACAGTGCATAACAGACTCTCTGTCCTGGTTTTATAATGTGAGATCCATTTTGGTGGACTTGGTTTCCCCTCTAGACTATGGGCAAGGTCAAAACAGTCTCCCTCATGGGTCTATTTGCAGCCTCAGTGACATAGCTGGCACAGAGGAGCATTCAGAGAACATTTATTCATTGAGGGAGTAAGTGAACGTATGAATGAGTGAGTGAATGAATGAATGAATAAAGAAACACAGCTGACCAAAACTATGCTTCTACCTGCCACCAGTCATGCCTTGACAGAAACCTTGGCTCTGCTGGCGGAGTTGGGGAAGATCTCTTGGAGTAGCACGTCTTTCAGCTGGGCATTATAAGATAATCAGGAGCCTGAAGGACAAGTACTGATTAGTGGGCAAGAAAATCTAGGTGCAGACTCAGAGGCCTTCCTGTTCACATGCACAGCACTCACTTATTCATATACTTCTTGTGGTGAAATACACATACAATTTACCATCAGAATCACTTTTAGATGTACAGTTCAGTAGTGTTAAGTATATTCACATCATTGTGAAAACAATCTTGAGAATTTTTCATCTTGGAAACTGAAACTTTGTCCCCATTAAACAATTCCCCATTGCTCCTTCCACCCAGCCCCTGGCAGCCACCATTCTACTTTTTGTCTCTATAAATTTGACTTCTCTAGGAATCTCATATAAGTTGAATTATATAGTACTCGTCCTTTGTGTCTCACTTATTTTACGTAACATAACATGTTCAAGACTCAACCATGTCATAGCATGTGTCACAATTTCCTCCCTTTTTAAGGCCAAATAATATTTGATTGTATAGATACACCACATTTTGTTTAGTCATTCATTTTTTGATGAACACCTGGGTTGTTTCCACCATTTGGGTGTGGTGAATATTCCTATACACATGGTTATACAAATAGCTCTTTGAGAACCCATTTTCAGTTTTTTCAGTTTTTTGGGTACATAGGAATGGAATTACTGGATCACATAGAAATTCTATTTTTATTTTTTTGAGGAACCATTTTCTTTTTTGTGTGTCACCAAAACAGTGGCATCATTTTACATTCTCACCAACAGTACACAGTGCACAATCTTTCCACATCCTCACCATCACTTATTTTCTGTGTTTTTAGTAGCCATCCTAATGGGTGTGAGGTGGATCTTATTGTAGTTTTGATTTTCATTTCTTTTGATTTTGAGAATATTTTCACAGGCTTGTTGGCCATTTGTGTGTCTTTTTTGGAGAAATGCCTATTCAAGTTCTTTGGCCATTTTTTATTTGGAATGTCAAGTTGTGGAAGTTCTTTATATATTCTGGATATTAACCCCTTATCAGATATGATTTGAAACTATTTTCCTTATTCTCTAGGTTGCCTTTTCACAGTGTGGCTATGTGAATTGTGTCCCTTGCTGTACAGAAGCGTTTAATTTTGTTGTAATCTGATTCATCTAGTTTTGCTTCTGTTGATTGTACTTTTGGCATCACCATTCCTTTTTATGTGAATTCATCTTTCTAGTCAGGCCTCTTTTACATTTAGTGTAGTTTCTTGACTTCTTCCCTAGCTAAGGGTAAGAAATCTTAACCAGGGGAAGATTCACCTGGAGGGACCTGCAACATTACATATCCCTCAGTCCTGGCTCCTGAAAGTTGCAGCATGAGGGAGAGGTATTCATGATGGAGCAGTGCTTTGTGTACACTCTCCCTTTGGGTATTGGACTTGGATAAAAGGCTCTAAACCCCTCTGCCTCAAGAGAACCCCCGGCAACAGGAGGAGTCTTTGGAGACCCAGCCAGCTCCTTGCCAATACCCTCATTACTAAGGTTGCACTGAGTTCAGTTTTTAACCATGTCTTCGAACCAGGACAATATGTAATTTTTGCAGGTGTAAGATGGTACTGGGGCCAGAAACGGGCACAACTGCATTAAAATTTTTTACCTTGATTCCAGCAAGAAATCTGCACTGTTCTCCCAAGAGCCTGGTTCACCCTCAGCGCAGCCCCAATAGGCGCCTGATTTCCAGCCCATATCATGGGGTTGACATTGTGTCTTGGATTTGCCTTGCCCCAGGGCAAGGCAAACATCTTCTCTGGATCACATGGGGAGCCCACTGGTTTAAGATGCAGACTTCAGGTCTCAACTCCCACCCTCTTCCGAGTTTCTTTTCCCCAGATATCCTTGGGTATAATCTCACAACTTTTTGCTGTGTCTTGAATGTCTATATTCTCTTAAGCTTTCACGTATTTTCTTTTATATGTATATATATTTGAAGTATGTAACTTGAAATCCTTAATAAAATTTGGATTTAATTATATATATATATATAAATTTATATACATATAATTTATACACATTTAAATTATATATATATAATTTATATACATATAATTATATATATAATTTAATTATATATGATTAAATCCAAATTATATATATAATATATATAATTAAATATATATTAAATGTATATATATATATAAAATTAAATCCAAATTTTATTAAGGATTTCAAGTTACATACTTCAAATTTCTAGAATTGAATGGAATCATTTTGGAACTGGAAAAATGGCATAAACATGGACATCCCTTGAAACTTCAATTTTATAAAGAAAATTCTTCTACAAACCACATTCCCATTATATAACAAGACTAGGTATTAACTACACCTTCACTTTGGCAATAGCTTTTTTTCTGAAAGAATGAAAAAGACGATTTCGCTATTTCAGTTCATTAAAAATGGGATTCTACCTTTAAGTTCAGAAAAAGCTGCATTTAGATGAAAAAAGGAAAACAGAGCACGGAGTGTCTAATCAAAGGAAATCATTTTAAAAATAAAGAGAAGGCCGGGCTCAAGCCTGTAATCCCAGCACTTTGGGAGGCTGAGGCGGGTGGATCACGAGGTCAAGAGATCGAGACCATCCTGGTCAACATGGTGAAACCCCATCTCTATTAAAAATACAAAAAATTAGCTGGGCATGGTGGTGCGTGCCTGTAATCCCAGCTACTCAGGAGGCTGAGGCAGGAGAATTGCCTGAACCCAGGAGGCGGAGGTTGCGGTGAGCTGAGATTGCGCCATTGCACTCCAGCCTGGGTAACATGAGTGAAACTCCGTCTCAAAAAATAAA